ACCTTTACCCCTTGTTGTACCCAGTGAACCCCGGTATGTGTATGTGCATGTGTTGCCGTCCCCGGTAACTTGTTCAGTCCACCTTTACCCCTTGCTGTACCCAGTGACCCCCGGGATGTGTATGAGTGTGTGTTGCAGTCCCCGGTAACCTGTTCAGGTCACCCTTACCCCTTTGCTGTAACCAGTGACACCCGGTGTGTGTGGGTGTGTGTGCTGCAGTCCCCGGTAACCTGTTCAGCCCACCCTTACTCTTTGCTGCAACTGGTGACTTGCGGTATGGGTAGGTGTGTGTTGCAATCCGGTAGCCCCGCTCAGTCCTTCCTCTTTCACGTGACCAGTGCCTTCCGAGAGTAGTATGAGGTGGCCGGGCACCCGGAGTAGAAAAGGGGGCATGGGGTTAAGAGTCAGGTTCTGTCCGATAAGCTTTGGCTGTCACCTCTGCTCCTCCAATCTCGAACACCCCCAACCCTTCTTCCTCCTCCATCACCCACACCCGTCCACCATAGCCGACCACCCCAACCCTTCTTCCTCCTCCATCACCCACACCCGTCCACCATAGCCGACCACCCCCAACCCTTCTTCCTCCTCCATCTCCCACACCGGTCCACCATAGCCGACCACCTCCAACCCTTCTTCCTCCTCCATCGCCGACACCCGTCCACCATAGCCGACCACCCCAACCCTTCTTCCTCCTCCATCGCCCACACCCATCCACCATAGCCGACCACCTCGAACCCTTCTTCCTCCTCCATCACCCACACCCGTCCACTATAGCCGATCACCCCCAACCCTTCTTCCTCCTCCATCACCCACACCCGTCCACCATAGCCGACCACCCCCAACCCTCCTTCCTCCTCCATCTCCCACACCCGATCACCATAGCCGACTACCTCCAACCCTTCTTCTTCCTCCATCACCCACACCCGTCCCACATAGCCGACCACCCCCAACCCTTCTTCCTCCTCCTTCACCCACACCCGTCCACCATAGCCGACTGCCTCCAACCCTTTTTCCTCCTCCATCACCCACACCCGTCCACCATAGTCGACCAACCCCAACCCTTCTTCCTCCTCCATCACCCACACCCGTCCATCATAGCCGACCACCCCTAACCCTTCTTCCTCCTCCATCACCCACACCCGTCCACCATAGCCGACCAGTCCCAACCCTTCTTCCTCCTCCATCACCCACACCCATCCACGATAGCCGACCACCCCCAACCCTTCTTCCACCTCCATCACCCACACTCGTCCACCATAGCCGATCACCCCCAACCCTTCTTCCTCCTCCATCACCCACACCCGTCCACCATAGCCGACCACCCCCAACCCTTCTTCCTTCTCCATCTCCCATGCCCGCCGCCATAGCCGACCACCTCCAACCCTTCTTCCTCCTCCATCACCCATGCCCGTCCGCCATAGCCGACCACCTCCAACCCTTCTTCCTCCTCCATCACCCACGCCCGTCCACCATCCCTTTTTTCTCCTCCATCACCCACGCCCGTCCACCATAGCTGACCACCCCCAACCCTTCTTCCTCCTCCACCCACACCCGTCCACCATAGCCGACGACCCCCAACCCTTCTTCCTCCTCCATCACCCACGCCCGKYCGCCATAGCCGACCACCTCCAACCCTTCTTCCTCCTCCATCACCCACACCCGTCCACCATAGCCGACCACCTCCAACCCTTCCTCCTCCTCCATCGCCCACACCCGTCCACCATAGTGGACCGCCTCAACCCTTCCTCGCTTATCACCTCCCTCATCCGCTCGAGGGCCGTAGGGGCCGCAAGGGGGCACGGGAAGTCTCGGGTAGGGCCGGTTAGGAAGAGGCAAGGATCAAGGTCGATTAGGACGTGAGACTTCTTGCTCTCTCTCTCTCTCTCTCTCTCTCTCTCTCTCTCTCTCTCTCTCTCTCTCTCTCTTCCCCCCATCGTTCCCACTGCCCGCGGTAGCACTG